AGTCGTTTAATCTCAAATGGCACATCAGTCGAAATCATTGGGATGCACGGTGCGAGAACATCTTCTGCTTTAAGTATAGTATAATATGTAAATGTAGTATAATCCTTTCAATATAGTTGCTTCCATCACGTTGTTTGATAGTTTTTTTATCGCTAACCTTGTGCCGTTGCAAAGGCGCGGTTGGTCAATATTTTGCAACATTATAATTGCCGATCCAACCTTTAATTGAAGATTGTGAGGTGACAATCCTATCAAAATCCAGCGAGTTTAAAAACTCCGGTGGATCGTCTTGGTTAGTTGCCGAATCAACTGATTCGCCTGTAATTTGTTCTTGAATTTTGAAATTTAATTTATTTACATCAATGTTTTGGCTGCCAATATAGCTGGTTAATTAATAGAAAGATATTTCTATGTTTATATAAATATATTAAAAATTAGATTATCAAAAACTACACAAAATGTCATGACGTAGATCATTGTTTTTTCTACAAATTTCGTTGCCTACTCGATTAAAAAAGAAAAGGGCTGTTTTTAAGGTTTTTCCCGGCAATTATTCGATTTTTTCTCGCCGTAAGAACCATCCTTGGACATGAACGAACATTTTAAAAGAAGAATTGTCCAAATTGGTCCAGGCGTTGTTGAGTTATGCGCTTACCAACACATTTTGCGATCCATTTTTATATATAAGATTTTGACAACAGTTTTTACTTAAAATTTAAGATTTCAGTTATTAAAGTCAACCACTGGGTTATCTTCTAAAAACGGTAGGTAAGAAATTAGATAGAACAGCTCCTAGAACACATAGTTCTGATTACAGTCCAGATATAGAAAAAAATAAGTTGTAGTGTATTAAGTTGTAGTATTTTATTATTTTTGATTTAAAAACGAAGAATAGCACAAATAATGGGGTTAAAATATGCAAAAATTCAATAATTATGCAATAATTATATTATATAATTATATTATAATATCAATTATGTTATATTACATTATTATATTATAATATCGCTCATTTTCCTAGGAAATGATTAGTTGTGGAATAATGAACAATTGTTATGAAATTATTTTAATGGATTCGGTAGATGAATAATTAGCAGATGAATAGTTACAGCATCTATTCATCTTCATTTTATAGAAATATAATCAGTGGATCACAACATAAAAGATATAATAATTAAAATAAAATTGTTACAACAAGTCCCTAGCTTTCCTATATATATTTGACTGATTTATCACAAAAAGTTGGTTATAATTTACTAGTTCTGATTTTGATTTTTTAAATTATTTTATTGGCAAAATATGTACATATACTATTCACTTAAATGTCTAATTCGAGTATAATTCTTGATGACAAAAAGTACATGAAACTATTGGCTAGTTGATACAAATACTTATACTAATATCTCATTTGCAGTTAAATTCAAATAAAAAAATCTGATTGTGTTACGGAAAATATCTTTTCACTGATTGACATCTAGTAATTTAAAAATTTCTACTTATTGTAGAATATATTACCGAAGAAGGCACGTGGAGCAGAACACCGGGCGGGAGTCGGTTTTTGATGGAAATATGATAAAGAGCAGAGTTTCATTTACTGCGTGTCAATTAAAGCAACATCATCATGAAATTGATACGATCCGTACGTAAGCGTAAAATTATACCAATTTCGAAGCTCGTCTCAAGTTCCATTGAAAGTTCTGTAATGCGGCCCGATGTAATTTTTCTAATGCACAAAACGAATTTGATATTTGCGAAGCTGTTTTCTGTAGAGACGGCGGAAACACGCTTTGAGGAAATGACTTCCGTGAAAAAGACTTAGAGACTTACACGTGTATTGTTTGCACTATATACAGGTTTTGTATTATTTTTAAAATTTGCTCTATATTTTACAAGTACAAGTATTATTATTGAATACCACCACAATATTATTTTCGAACTTAAACTGTATTATATACTTCTATACGATGAATTTCCTCACTAAAAAATATATAATTTCATTCCAAAATTATTAAAATCAGAAATATAAATTCAACTCTAAATTGCACTCTATTTTATGCCTTGATACTTGTTGTACATACGGTCATTTGTATTTCTCAAAAAATAATGATTTCGCTTATATTTTTATGAATTTATTAGTTCAAATTTAATTCAATTTAATATTGTTTAAAATACCTTTATACTTTTTATATTTTTTATATCTTTGATTTAAATTTTATCTCGTATACGGAACAAAATATTTTATCCAAAAACTTAATGCATGGAAGAAAACAGCAATTAAATTATTAGTTATAATTTAAATCTTTAATTGATTTACTATTCACGTAGTTTTATAATAAAGTTATTGCCAGCTCATCGCATTTAATTGATAATTATAACAATTTAAAAAAAATACGTTTGTTATAATATAGAGTATTTTATGCTTTATTCTCTACAATTTGAGTTTATAAAAATTAGGTAACTAAACGTAATTTTTAACCAAAATAAGGGTATCTTTTAGTAGTATTTTTATAAATTTTATGACAAAAATATGTCTATCAAGCATCACTTCATCTATTAAGGATAACTAGTTACACATTATTACGCTTCTCACTTAAACTAAACTTTAATTAAAATATTATGTCTTATTTATTAGAATCTGTTAATAAATTGGAGTAAGTTGTTTTTTTCGGCCATCAAGTATATAGTAAAGGATTATTGTAACGATAAGTGCAATAACAATATTTAAAATTGATTTTTTTACAATGATTTATGAGATTATGTGTATTCTGGTCTAAACTATTAAAAGGCCAATTATCAATTTTTATAAGTTATTAATTAATGTCAAAATTTGAAATAGTGAAAAAGTTTTGAAATAGTAAAACATTTATAAAAATCAGTTCAAGTCGCATTAACTGAGTGTTATCAAAATTTGCATTTACAACGTTGTTATTTTCAAATTAGTTAATTTTTCACGAAGTGGCTTGTTACCAAGCATTTTTCAATGCCAAACATGTAAGTGGCTATATAAATGTCGTAGTACTTGGAATCTTATCGCAGGTGAACCGATTTTTAAAACAGATTATGAGCAATAACATAATTGAACTACAAGTTTTGTTTATATGAGTATATAATTATGTACATATGCGCATTATTATATTTTATACGCACATTATATTATATTTGTAATGTTTATATACCATAATACGCAATGAACAACATTCTTAATGAGCTTTTATTATTCGGTAATAAATTCCCAACGCAAAAGTTCTTGATGTCTTTCAAGAAATTAGTACCCCGGAAACTTTTAATATGAACTTGATCATGAAACGAGTTAACATTTATTAATTTGTTCTATTCAGAATTGACTTGAAATATAAATACTTGAGATAATTATAAAATAATTAATTTATAAAACTTACGTAAGAAATATATTTTATTATAATTTTATATTAAATTTATAATATTAACTATAAAAAAAATTATATTTAAAATAATAAATATTGATATAAGAACTTAAATGATATTTCTCTATTCTTTTAAAAACAAAATAATTCAAGGGTTATATTATTTTAAAAATGTTTGTATTTAATAAAAAAACAATTCTGCTATTTGTTATTGATTTTTACTTCACACAGTAATTATAAAACTTCTTCGACATTCAAATTTGACTTTTTTTGCATTCAAAATATTAATAATTAGATTTTTTTTATTATAGCATAATTGTTCAAAAATAAAATTTTCATCTCCAAACTGAACCATATGAACTAAATACATTTGTGGCTAAATATTTAAATCGAAAAGAAGTATAAAAATAGGACCATTTTCGGCATTTCACAAGTCTGTTCGCAAATTGTACTTTAAAATTAAAAAAAAAACAAACAATCAGGGCTACAATTGTTTTTCGCAGAAAAATCTAATAATTTTGACAGAAATAGTGATCATCCGCTGGGTTGCATTCTAATAACACTAGGTTAAATCATCATGACAATAGCCCATAAAAATATTCGGAGAATTTGAAATAGAGAATGTAAATACAAACTAATGAAACAAAAAAATGTTATGACGTTCATTGTTACATCTAATTGTCATAAAAGTAACAAATCGAAGTTATAGGACTCAGAGTGAAACTGCGTAAGTGTCAATATGTATGAAAAACAGAATATTTAATAAACCCATTATTGTTTCATTGTAAAGAGTCGTCTCTGACTTCATATCGACATCTTTGTTCCAAAACCGTTTAACGCAGGTGATCAGTGGTAAAAACACTTACTGTATTCATTCATTAACATCCATATATTAATATAGTGAAGAATTTTAATGTTATCATTTCTTTGATCGAAATAAATAAAATCTGAAATCTCCTACGCGTTTTGCTAGATGCATTATTCAGATAATGATCAGCCGTGCGTAATATAACACATGCCTTATATCGGCAATTATTATGTTATGGATTTTTTGGACGTTGAATAATGCGAATTATAAATAACGATTTCATTCGCGGTTATTGCTAATAGTCGAATGCATAATGGAATGCAATTTCGCACGCTTTTAATCGACATAGCTATTCATTAAACTTTTAACTGTGCGTGTTATTTTAAATTTGTATATACAACGATTTCATTACGATGAAGTCATTCATTAAACCAAATATTATAATCAAATAATTGAACTTCACGTGGGTGAAAACTGTGGAATGCGTTTGTTAACAACTAGAAGAATGAAATTATAGTATTTCTTATCTTTGTTTTGATTCTTTCAGTAATATGTTTAATTTTAATTTAAACGACGTTTATTTATGTTTCTTTGGCCACAATGATGATTAATGATTTTTAAAAATTCTACGCTGAATTGCGATTCAATTCATTTATGAATTCTTTCAGTCACACATGTGATAGTTTGTCAGCAGGTATACCAAACGCGAGGTGGGTTCGATGAGAACAAGTTTGGTTTGAAATTCCCTACGGATGAGCAAACATTCCTTTCAATGACAAGTAGAGTAGATGCATTTTTGAGATACGAACCTGCAGGTTTAGGTACGTTCCTTTTGACTTGCATCCACCTGTATGTGGTCACAGAGTGAGAATTGTGTGGTGTCCCCGACGCAACTGTTTGAGGTTGTTCATGAGGTTGTTGTCCGTGAGGTTGTGCCAATCTTTGTTGGCATTCTTGTTTCGCGTATACTTGCTGATGCGATATGTGGTGTTGCTGATGAGGCGTGTGGTGCAAATGTGGTTGCTGTTGTTGTTGTTGCTGTTGTTGATGATGCTGGTTGAAGTCGATTGCCTGAAAAGCCACTTCTGTTTCATGCGGATAACCTTTAGAGTCGTCTATGGGGCTTCTCATGTAAGCAGGGGGTTGATCATACCCCGGGTGCGGGTAAAGACCACCGTTCGGTCCGTTGTTAATACCCGTGCCTCCGTTATTATAATCAAGGTTCGTGTAACTCAGACCGTTATCTGTGCTGATGATGGGATCCGTCGGTGATTCGAGGTGCAAGCCGAGTTGACCCAAAGAACCTTGGCTGTAAAAATGCGAGTCAGGAGGCGGCGAGGTTCCCGATCCATCGTATAATATTTGCGTACCATAACCATCATGATGATGGTGGTACGTTTCGTGATATCCTACTGATTGATGATAACTAGGAGCTGTTTGCCCGTATCCAGTTCCGGCATCGTTGGTATTATAATAGGGATGATAAACCGAATCCGTTGTCGTGTGATGATACGAACTGGTGTGCGGTTGGTCGTGCTGCCCGTACATGCTAATGTCCATAGTCATCATGTTTAGTTGCACTTACTTTTTATTTGCTGTCACTGAACCGCGTTGGGGTCACATCACATGAAATTAAGGTCCTATTTGTCACCACGCGCCTTTTTCTTGGATTGAGAAAATATGACACAATTTCAAAAACACTAAACCATTTAAAGCACTCGCGGATATGGTCACAATAATCGAAAACCTGTGGAGAATAACCGCGCGCGCTTCCGTACGCTCGCGATATACGTTGTCCACTGACGTGAGTAGAGTTACTGATCGAACACGTTTAGTTCTCACGGCCGATGACGCGTCGAACCGCGTGCGTCTCTACGATATGTTCGCCGTTTACTGCGCGGACGAAATAGAGTTTCCCCGCGGAGTCTACTTGGGTTTTGTTGTAGCGATCTCGCTCGCCTGCGTCGTCTCTGGTAACGCGCGTAACGGAGTGGGCACACTAAAAAGTAAGAGCCTGAATGAATCGACCGGCGCTGCTACAGAGAGCGAACACATGACAAAAGAACGAACGAGACGGAAGCCCTCGCGGCGGCTGCTCGCCTGCTCGCCTGCATGTGTCGGGCCTCTACGATATCATTCACGTGTCCCGTTCGGGACCGCGAGGGCGGCGCTTTGCCAATCACGTGGCCAATGGAAGCGAGACGCAGGAGCACCCATAATGGATTGGGTAGAGACATCATTGTGTTGCCTGAGAGGAGAACTATCTCATTTTTTCCGACCATCGGCTTTTTCGAAACATTTCAATCCAGCCGAGGGATTAGGGTGTTATTTTTTCCAGCCCCTCGTACGCAACTACGCGTTAGATCAAAATGGTTTCGCTCACATATCTGCACATGGTTGCTCGTTATATTGTTCGTGGACTGTCATTTTTTGATATAATCATACTTTTGTTCTCTATCCCAAAACGTGATTTCAGTACAGACTGTTTTCTCTATATATAATATTTTTCAATAAATTAACGTGTTAACTTCATAATTTTTGTGATCAGCTATCTTACTTTGCATACAAAAATGTTAAAACTTGGAATATAAATACTAGGAGAAGTACGTCTAAAATGACACGGGTTTTGTTTTTTAATTATATTATAAACAGTCTCAATTATTTTTATTTATTTTTTAGTTTAATGAATACTAGTAAAAAGTATTATAATTAAGTAGGGACAGCATTAACATATTTAAAGAAAAAGTGCAACCTACAAAAATTATTATATCCCTATAGTACGGACAAAATGACATGTAGTGCAAAGACATACTGAGATGCTAATTTTTAAGAAATAAGTTCAAAAATAAATAGTTTTGTTTTCTTTGGGACATTAGCACATGAAGGTTTTGCAACAAATGCGAAAGTTTCTTCTTTTTACCGATGGATCTTTTGGTCTATCTTTAGCAATGATTTTTTTTAAATACTTGAAGAAGAAATTGAAAGCCAATTACCTTTGACAGATTTTTTTTCTTGGCCCTGTGTTGCATTATATAAGTATTTCATTTTATCTGAAATTATTGCAATAAAATTAATTGAAATCACTAGAGCTGTCAAATGTTAATTATTCTTAATTGAAATAATTACGAATATCAAGAAATAGGTTCCCAAAAAACATGAGAAAAACACTCTCAAAATAAACTTTTCAAGGCGTGAAACACGTTTGAACTGATTACTGCGATAAGACTGTGACAATGACGCTCAACATCTGACAGAATTGCTATATGCTTTTTTCATGATAAAGTCTCGGAAACGTTAACAAAACTAGTCAATTTTTAAATAAAGTCACTGTGTCATTTTGTCCATATACACTATTTTGTCCACATTTTCTCTATATATTATTGACAAAATTTATATACTTCTTGTTAAAATATCGACCAGTTTTTGAGAATCGCGGTTGTTTCAAAATATGTTATAAATAATGATTCACATATATAAAGCTGTTGCTAACAATTTAATATTAATTGAAACCACGTTGAGTAAATAAAATATTCTTTGTCTATATATAGATATCTATGTTTCTCCCTTGAGTGTGATGCCTAGGCTCTTGTATAAGAAATCGTAATTGAATTACGTAAATTCCACGCCATGCACAGCAATTCCATTTTCGGCACGTCAGACCCGAGAGCTCGACTCGACGCTGTCGTGTGCGTGCACACTGTCATGGGGCGAATTTCTGCGCCCCCCACTCGAGGGCTGAAACGCCGTAGGTTAAGGCTCGAAGCACACGGCCTGCAAGCTGTCAAAACGTTATTACACCATTTATTTACTTATTTTAATCAAAATTTATTCTTTAATAATTTGAGATTTTTTACTGCAGTCAGAAGTGCATTGGCTCTTTATTATTATTCCCGTAGAGTTAGTTAAGTTATTGTAATCGTTCAAAAATCGAAATTGAAAATTTTTATATTTCTTCAAGTTTTGAAGGTTTCTGAACATTTTGGCATACTTCAGAAAAAAATAGATGTGTGTGTGTATGAATGTATGGATACAATTTTTCATCTACGTTTTCGGGCGCACGGATTAACCTATTTGAATGATTCAAAAAAACATTCGATTCCTATTGTGAGGGAGATGTGCTGATTAGTTTTTGGCAAAGGCAGGTCCAGCCGTTTCGGAGATACAGAGCTAAATGTGCAAAAAATGGCAGTTATTGAGAGAACTAAGCTTCCGATTTGAATGATTTAAAGAACTGTCTGCTTGTTTTAACAAAATATTTGCTTTTGGAAAAATAATATTTTTGTTTCAATTTTTTTTGTTTCAAATTTTTTTGTTTATATAGAAAATAATTCAGATTTTTATTGTAATTCTGACTTAAGTTCTAATATACTTTAAACAAATATTTTCAATTTTGAAATTCAGTTTATATAATTCCTATAAATATTACGCAATGTTACAGTATTTATTTATAATAATCTATTTGATATTCATTTAAACATTTAATATTCTTCGAACATTTCGTTACGGTACGGGAAGTTCCAGCATACACCACTAGTTATTTGATTGTATCTGTAAAATATAGAAAAGCTTAAAAATTATTACTAGTTTTTTTAAAAATTAGTACTAGTGGTAATGTATATTTATATAAATTGACGAACTAAATATTAATCATTGATATAGAAATCTGTCAAATAGTACTGTAACAACATTTATAACTCAAAGTTTGACAAAGCTTTTCGGATAACTTGCCTAAATTATATTTTATAAATTTTAACATTTCTAAAAATTATCGTAGAAGTAATATGAATTAATTACAGCAGAAAATGTATTTTTACTAGTACCAAAGATCAATTATCGAATTCTGAATTTTTATTGTTTTCATGACATGATCTATTATGAAACTAAAGCGAGTATCTACAATAAATTTTATAATATTAATTCTGTAATTGTAAAGTTTATTAACTTAACTGGAGTAGGTAAAAATCAAAAATAAAAATTATTATATATCTTCAACTTTCTAAGGTTCCTGAACAATTAGTTAAACACAACAAGGTGTGTGAATACTAATTTTTGCCGACGAATTCGGATTAACCTATTTGAATAATTCGAAAAACATTCGAATCGTTTTCATGGGGAGACGTGCTCTTATTAGCTTCGGAGATACGGACCAAAAAGTGACAAAAATGCTTATTTAGTTTTTGGGATAAAGGCGGAGCGTCCGATTTGAATGGTTCAAATAACATTTTCATTTGTATTAACGAAATGAAAAATGGAGTGAATTTTTGGGAAGGCAGTTTTAGCGGTTTCGGAGATCCATTGAAAAACTAAAAAAAAAAGTCAATTGGCGGATGAAAACGATCATTAGACATATGCACATCAAATTATAAGATATTTTATAGAGATTTTAATAATAAATACAAACTTTGTTTACATTTCTGTACATTTCCGTACCATTGTTTATCCGTTAGACTGTGACGATGCTATGCTTCCTAGTTTTATATATCCAGCGCTATTTGCAAGTTTTCTTGCTAGCAATCATGTATGTATTTTTATTATAATGGGGTGTGTATTCCATGCCTTAAGTGAATCGAGCCTAAGAGAGACTTGGCCGTCTGATCCGATCGGATCCGATCCGATCCGGATCTACGGGTCCTAATAGAGGAATTAATTGGACGGCACGGACGATCCATCATCGTATCACCGCATAAAGCGGCGAGAGGGATCCCGTCTACCTACAACGCTTGCCCTCGCGCGCATCAAACTTCCAGAAATAACACTGAAAACTGTGACATGCCGGAGGACGGAGGACGGAGGACGGTTGGTTGGCTGATACGCGACTGCCCCAACGCCGAGTTTTATTTCACAGAGAAAATGGAAACAAAGAGTGTAGAAACGCGACTGTTTTAATACTGGGATGCTGCATACATCCACAAATAAAACGATGAAGAAAAATGCAATCCATGTTTTCTGCCAAAAAGGCAAAATTTGGAAGAAACATTTTAAAAATATGAAAAATTAACAATTATATTAATTTATCTTTAATCTTGATTTCACCCTAATGATTGTTGAACTAATTCGAAATTCCGATCATGGAAACGAAAAAAAAAATCAGAAATGCGGCTGTTCTATCGCTGTTGTACTAAAACCCATCCATAAAAGAAACAATTAAAAAAAGTGTAATCCATGTGTTCTAACAAAAATGCAATTTTTCAACTTCCTGTAGGGTAAGTTATTGTAATAGTCCAAAAATCGAAATTGAAAATTTTTACATTTCTCCACGTTTTGAAGGTTTCTGAACATTTTGGCATACCTCAGAAAAAGTGGATGTGTGTGTATGTATGTATGGATACAATTTTTCGTCCACGTTTTCAATCCGTCCACGGATCAACCGATTTAAATGGTTCAAAAAACATTCGATTCCTATTGATAGGGAGATGTGCTGATTAGTTTTTGGCAAAAGCAGGTCCAGCAGTTACGGAGATACAGAGCAAAGAGTGCAGAAAATAGAAATATTTTTTGAGAGTTCGGAGCATTGGATTTAAATCATCCAAAAAACTTTCAATTCGCAATGACGGGGAAAAGCTGTGATT